ACCCGGCTTCACGGCCACAGGCCCGGGAGATGCCACTCCTCTGTCCCAGGGCTGGGTGGATGGCAGGGACAGCGGCCCCCAGGACGGGCAGGCAGGCCACGGTCCCAGAGCCCACAAGCATGCAAGTGCCCGCGGCCTAGGCCTGGAAGGGTGTTGGGTGTGTGGGAGGGACTCCTGACCCTTCCCAGTGGCCCCTGCTGTGCAGGCCTGATCGAGCGGCCCCACGCTTATCTTCCGGTCCAGTGAAGGAGGTAGAGGGCTTCCACGTGCTGTCCACCGACTACAGCTACGGCGTGGTCTACGTGCACCTGGGCCGGGCCGGCCGGACTTCTAAGACCCTGCTGCTCCTCAGTGAGTCCAGCGGCAACATCTGGGGAGTGGGCGTGCAGGGTGCGGGTCAGGTGGGGGACGGAGGGGCGACAAGTTCAGAGGGGAAGGTATGGAGGCCGCTGCCTCAGCTCGGGCTCCCTGACAGAGCACCACAGACCGCACCGCACGGGCGCCCGCGATGGACATTGATTCTCACGGCTCAGCGCGCCGACCTGGTGGCTTCCGGGGAGGCCCCCCTTCCTGGTTTGCAGATGGCCGCCTTCTCACTATGTCAAGTGTCGGGGAGAGGGCTCTGGTGTCTTCCTCTTCTTATACGGGCACTGACCTCATTAGGAGCACCCAGCAAACCCCACACCCATCCCAAGGCTCCGGGACCTCACACCATCCCTCTGGGGCTCTCATGGATGAATTTGGGGGGAGACGGAGACAGAGTCCATTCCTGTCACGGCCCTTGCGTTGCAGGCTGGCAGGAAGTGGGAGGTAGGAGGACAGGGCCGGGACACACACAGCAAATGGGTTGGAGAGATGGGCGGGCGGAGCGTGGCGCCCGGACAGGGGGACCAGGTGGGCAGGTCTCTGGTGTGGCTGCCACGGGGCTGAATGGGGGCGGCCAGTGCACGGGCGGAGCCCAGAGGGCAACAGGTCAGGGGTGGGACTGACCCTCTGCATGGAGGCAGGGGACCCCCCCCAGGCTGAG